GTTCACGGCAGTGTGGCGTAATGGTCAACATGTCGAGACTATGCTATGCACTAGCCTGATTCCAATAGCCCTGGAGATGCGGAGACCTAAATAAGGTCGAAATTACCGTCCAGCTTGGTTGAGAATGCCTGTTAGCAAGCAAGACCATGAGATCTACTTATATCAAAGGGAAATTTGAGGAATACTTCGTCATCTTATGCGACCTAGAGTGAATACGGTCTTATACAATTATCTTGACTTCAAACGAATTAGGACCGTAACCAGGAAAATATGGGTACGCTATAGCAACACATTCGAAACATAAAGATGGGCAAACTAAAAATTAAAATAAAAAATTTTGAGAATTGCAGAATTTAGACGAACCTCTTTTTCTGTCGTAAAGTGAATTGGTAGGTGATTGCCCTGCCGATCAACCAGAGGCAAATAGATAAAGGCGGAGTTGCCGGCAGGAGGTGATTGCTGCTGTTGTTGCTGGTGTTGATGAGGATTCTGTGGCTGTTGTTGGCTAGCGAAAGATGCATCCGCTATCACAGATATCGTCTGCTGGGAAGGTCCGAATGTGCTCGTCTGATGGAATGAGTCAATGACAGGGGCAAGGGAAGTGCAAGAGGAAGGGACTGAAGAGCAGGTGGTAGGAGAGGGCAACTGAGAAGCAGCTTCCGACCTGACAGAATGAGTGAAGCAAAGTGCGAAAGAGACAAGGCAAGAGAAATTAAAATACCGCTAGACATATAGAGATTGCAGCTGGAGTTTGGTAGATTCATCTAGCATGCCAGCTTCAAACATTAATAAGAGCATAAAAGGTTAGAGCTCCATCGAATACTACTTGATAGTTTGAAGTAGTTATCCTTTGAAGTTATGTATGACACTAATGCTATAATTTGTGGTGGTAGTGACACATAAAGCAAACCAGAAGAACGATATCATGACTCTTTGGGAAGCTTATGGTGTAAAACGAGAGGTAATCTAATCCATCATGGAGCTTTCTGTCTTGCGTAATACCATGAGAATTGCATAAAGTACCGTTTCCTATCACTACTACCACCCGAGTCCTATTATGAACTGATTTTAAACGTTTACAGGTTTCATTACTTAGCCCGCTCAATAGTGATAACGCCTTTCATCCTAGTATGCTGTAACAGCAATTAATCAATTCAACTAACCTCTTGGTATGGAATGTAATCTCATCACGAGTCGAATCGTCCTTTTATAATGCGAAATTACGACAAGACATCATTCTGAGTAAATGGCTCGACCTAACTGGCTTCTCTTCGTCAATTAAGGAGTATATGATCTCTAAGTAACCATGAATTTGACGCATAAAGATAACCTTTCGACATTAAACGTAGGGGCATAGTGCAACGATGCAGATCCATTGCTTGGTTTTAAGTATAGTCAGATACCGGTGACTCGACTTGCGGATAGTCAGAAGAGATGAACTTAAATTATCAGCAACGCTGGCCAGTTGAGATAAAATAATTTAGTAGCCTCTTAATCTGTAATTGGGCTTGTCAGTAACTAGTCACAAGAGTCGCGTTAGAATAGCGTCTTCGTCAAACTACTAGAGTGAATACGAGAAAAAAATTTGGGTCAATGGAACAAGATATTAATAAATTCAAGCCAATAATAATCAAAATTATTCTTAAACGATCCAGGCAACTGAGGTGATTAGACATTCAGGGAACAAAATAGTGAGGCGCAAGCTTATGCAACCTGGATTTTGTATCATCGATGCAGACAACTCTATCATACAATATAGATCCAAATAGCTCAATTAATCAGGTAGCATATCTAATAATGTAAACCACGGCCAATTCAAATCATCACCACTTAGTTGATGCAAATTGACGACGTACCACACATCTTACTTTTAGAGTACTCAATAAACTCAAGCAAGGCCTAGGCTTTTAGACACAACATTAAATTTTTTGATATTTTATCAGGTAGGCAACATGCCTCTATAACGAAACTTGATCATATGATGAGCAAGAGTGACTAGCGTCACGGGAAATCTAAAATAATTGGCGACAGGTGATGCTGGCATGGCAAAATGAACGTGGCCACGTGAGGTAAAGGAGTGCACTTTATTCTAACTAGATAATTAATAGGTGTGTGTAAAAAGCAATCAAAAGTTAGAATTGCTTAATTTCACCTTCTGGCAATAATCAGTTTCATGAGTATTGAGTGATAAAATTTAAAATTCGGCCATTTTTATGAAAAAAAAGTATGAAGAGAGCGGAGGAAGGATCAAGAAGAATAGAAGAGCTGCCAAAAGGTGTTTAGGAAAGAAAAAAGTTAACAAATAGACGTTGTTTGAACTTGATTTCGCAATTTGGTAATGTTGGTACGAAGAATTAGAGGAACGCACATAGTCCGGAATCCATTGTATGCATAATCACTTCTAAATTCGGACCGTGGATGTGGTACACTCCCGGATGTAGCCGATATTGTCAATGAGTCTTGCTAGTCTTAGCACCATACAGCAACTCATCAGAGACAAGTGAAGCGAATCATTTGACCAAATGTACTAAACAGTTGTGGTATCTCTCTTTGTCATGGGCTACTGACCTATCCTATAGCCTCGTATCATGCCTTCACTATAACACTTTTTTTATATTGCTTATTTAAATCTAGTGTGGCGTACCCTTTTGAGCGGCTTTCATGAGAACCCTCTA